TCACAAGGCGGCTGCCATTCAAGCCATTCACAAGAACCCATCCATAACGTCGGTGAGCATTGAGAACTCGGCTAATCACGGCATAAACATGATAGCTCCCAGTGGTAAACTGAATTTAAATCACCTTAACATCAACAAAACATTGGGAACCGGAATCAGCATTGTATCTTTAAGTGGCGAAGGTCGTGATAGCGATGAATCCAGTTTTTCGCCCTTGAAGAAATTGGATCTTCCATATAAACTCTTCTCGCTGGTGGACATATGCGATCCCCAGAAGGTGCTGACTATTGAAGAGCGCATGCTGATCTACTACAAATACGATAACAATCCTGTAAACTGTGTAAAGATTTTTACCTCCGCTTTTCGAGCTAAGCCCATAGGTTTCCGGTTGCTACAATCAAATTTGTTCAATCACTCCAAGCTGTATGGCCGAACCGATTTTATAAAGCTCTACGACGGTGATATCTACAATGTAACTGCCACCTATTTGGGTAAAATCGAATCTGATACGGATAATCAAAGGTCTTTCTTCAAGACCAAGGGCCCAACGATGAGTCTTCAGTTGGTGGCCAGTGGTGCTCCCGAAACTCATGGTTTTATAGCAGAAGTCGTTACGGTGCCCATTTCCACTTTGGGCCAATGTAAGTTAATCTTCAAGGTATTTATATTTAACTCATAATAAATATTGAATCTTTTTGAAGATCGCGATGCTTTGCACAATATCACGGATTCCCATATCTCAGGTGCAATGAAGGGGGCGGTAACCTATTCTTCTGCGGGTGAAGTTACGCCCACTTTGACTTTGATAGGCAATAGGATAGAGAAGAATTGCCGGCAATTGTATGGCAACTTTTCCACCTGCACTTCGGCTTTGAATTTGGATGTGCAGAACATGAACTCATTGTACTTTATGGTGAGTAGTGGATCTGTATGCAGTAAATAAAAATAAAAACTAATTTCTTTTTTAAAACCGCAGAACAACCTCATCACAGAAAACCAAGGAGGCTTGAAGATTCGAGCTGATTCTCGAGGTTCTGCAACCTCACTTCGCGGCTTTGTTCATCACAATCTATTCATGAGGAATCGGAATCGTCCCGCTCTCTACGTGGAAGGACGACAATCCTCGCCTTATCAGGAAGTAGAGCTCTATCGCAATTACTTTGCCCAGAACATGGCTGGCTATGAGGATGTGATAAGATTATGTCAGGTGGTATCCAACTTTAGCTATAACTATGTGCACAGCAATGTGGGCGGAAGAATCATGGAGGTTTCTGGCTTCGAAAAGGTGCGTCTGCAGATCTATCAGACCACGGCTCACAATGGTTTCTATAGGTAAGTCTTTGATATTGAAGGAAATATAAGTTTTATATTTAAATATCCTCGATGTTTAGGAACTTCGCGACCAACTGGATGACAAGGGCAACAATTGTGGCCGGAACGGCGGGTCAGCAATATGTGGATAATATTTTTGAGAACTATGAAAACGATTATGAGCTGCTAACCGTCAATAATTCCATGTAAATATTATACTTTATTTAAAAACAAGTGTTATAGAGGAAGTCAAAAATTAAGTCCCACTTTTATATTGAAACTTTTCCAATATTTCTACTCCTAATCCCACCTTTAAAGCTATTAATGGGAATCTAATTTCTTACTTTGTTTTTTCTATTTCCTACCATTTTCCTACCCGTAGTTTGAGTTTTGACTATGAAAACAGGTAAGACTTAAATCACAATAAAACCTTTCCAAACTTTCATTAATTTTAAAATTATCCAAAACAGGACCTTTGAAACCTGGAGCTCTAAGATCGATGCTCGTCACAATTATTGGAGCTACAATAACACTATATCGGTGCAGTCTCGCATCAGAGATAAATCAGGTGAGTTTTTGTAAAACTAAGTGTATATGATAGCCGTAATAACACTCTCATGACTCCCACCAGACGATCCCAAGCTATTGGAGGTCCTAGCCGTGCCCTTCCAAATGAACAATGAGACTATCCTGGATGGTAAATGTCCTCCAGGTTGGGCCCTGGTCCATGATACCTGCTTTATTTATGTGGGAGCACCCATGACATTCCACGAAGCTCGGGATTTCTGTCGCTCGGAGAACTCCACTATGCCTTTCATACGCACCGATAAGACAACGCTATGGAAGTATTTGCAAAGCCAGATGAGGCACTTAAAATATCCAGATAAGGTTTGGATTCAGGACTATAATCACATCGAACGCTGCACGAGTTTCGTTTTTGGAGAAGTCGAACTAGAGGATTGCGGCAAAGAGCGCGGTTTCATATGCGAAATGGATCCCAGGGTAAGAGGCTCTTTAACGAAATAAGAGAACACTTGCTAATGAACCATTTTCTTTCAGGTTATTATTGATCCTTTGTCCTGGCGAGCAGACATCTTTGCAATCAGTATTATCTCAGCCTTTGTCCTTGCCATTATCCTGCTGATCCTGGTGGCCTTCTGCTGGTTTGCCAAATCAAAGCACCGTCATGTCCAACGACTCCAGCGGAGAAACAGCATTCGCCAAAGTTTGCGCAGCTTGAACAGCATCGATCCACAGGGTTCCCTTCGCCGAAGGCCCAATTATGTATGATTTGCTTTTGATTTGATTAATCCTTAGTTTTTATTTTATTTTTATTTTTACTCAATTTTATGTTATTGCTTTGGGCTCATCAAAATAACCAGAACATGTCCAGCAACGGAACGTTGTCGAAGAGTCAGGACTACAAGCAGATGGTGGCCAACGGATCCATAGATTCGATGGACAAAAGTGTGTTGAGCTCGGAGGCTGGCAGCTTCGAGGGTTACGAGCAGAAGCCCCACTACAACGAGTATGTGAATCAGAACTCCCTGAAACCAGTACAGCCGCCTGCCCAGGATCATCAGAGTCACAAGGTGGCCACCATTTCGAAGGCGAGTGGCCATCGGGCGAGAGCTGCCGCCGCTGCAGCTGCCGCCTTGGAGCCCGACGCCTTCGAGCTGAGCTACCGGAACGAGGGATTCCGGGACAACTCCACCTACGGCGGTGGCACTCGAGCCAACTCCATTAGCACCAGTGTGGCCGAGGACACGCCAATCATACATCACACCGATCAGGAGGTCGACGAGGGTGGCTCCGATTACTATGGCAACGCCAGTACCTTGCCCCTGCGAACCGAGGGAGGCGGGAGCAGCACCCCGGGCGGTAGGCGTGGCCAGCCGGGACTGGCCTTCCTCAGCGAACTCAAGCAGAATCTACCCGAGTACCAGAGGAGCTCGCACAGCAGCTTCATGCCGCACCGAAGTAGCGGCGACTCCCTGCCCTTCGATCAAAAGCTGGATCAATTCAACTACTCCACGGAGTCATCACTGTACCGTCCAGCGCCCGCTGTTCCAGCCAGTAGTCAACCGGCCACACCGGCGGACATGCGTCGTCCGGACTCATATTACACTGCCGTGCGGAGTAGCAAAGCTCCAGTCTCACACTACCGGACGCCGAGGCCACTGGCCCAGCCGCCGGCCGCCCCAAATGTGGCGCATGGGCGACCCAAGACGGTTTACCAGACGGGATCCGAAGAGTCCTCGCCGACGACCCCCTCACCGCTGACCAATCCGTATCATCGCTCCAAGTCGGAGGCCCTGCTCGAGACGGATTTTGATGGGGATGGTGGAGCGGGGGGGCTGCAGCCCCTGCAAACCAACGGACGCAGTCACAGTCAGCCCCTGGAAACGGCCATGTGAGGGGTCGTCATCCATTTCATACTCTAATTTAACACTCACTATTGGCTCTTTGCGATACTGACAAGAATCTGGAATAATTTCGCAATTTGATAAAGTATTTCCTTTTAGATAAATCAAGTTATGGAATATTTCACTTGAAAGAGAAAACCTTAAGTTGTTCTTTTAGTTTCTAAGACTTTAGTTACGTTTTTTGTCAGTTTCGTTCAGGGTCTCAACCACCACAGCTTCGTAGTTTTTAGTTTGCCTTTAAAGTATACTTTTTAAAATCGAGATTACGATTGAGAGAGACCAAGAGAGACGAACACGCCCGCCCGTTGTTTTTTGTGTGGTAAACTTAGATCATTCCATCCATTAGCCTTAAGACTACGATTAACCATTGCCGGAACGAATTAGTTTTAAGTTGTTGTATATAAACAGAAGAATAAAACAGAATTAAACATAAAAAATCATTAAAATTCTTTTTATTAGAAGGTAAACATTTATTTATTTTTTCAAAGTAAATTTTGCTGACCTGTTCTTCAATTCTTATCTGGCTAGTAGAAATAAGGATTTCAATACCGTTTTCGTAAACTGCGCTGAAAACCTTTAGTTTTTAGAAAACAACTAACTAAAATTTTTTGTAGCATACTTTTTAAGCACAACATTTTATATCGGAATTCCCCTTTCATATATATTCATAATATCAGCACGATTTCTCGCGATAGAATGTACTGTACTGTAATGTTTGATGTTGCAGTAACTTTATTTTAACTGCCCGAGCTGCATCGGAATTGTCCGACAGTTCCACAATATAAGCAAAATATAGTTTCTGGACTTAGTTTAGTTAGTTTTCGGCGTTTCATATCGTAAAAACGGTGGGTAAATGCGTTCCAAACTACACCGTTAGTATAATTATACTGCCCGTATGTTCCGCACTAGTTGCTAAAGGAAAAATTAAAGTTTATATCAAAGAACAAAGTTATTACATACTGACCTCGAATGGCGTGATCGAAACCACCAAGCTCCGGTAAATTCAATCGCACAGTTTTTGATCTATACATCATTTTTCCGATCCTTAGTGCTGAACTGCATGCCTAGGTGATAAATAAGTGAGTCGCCGGCGTTTCCAGAAAATGATCCCACCGATTCTAAAGTAAAATTGTTACGCTCGGGACCAACTCTAAAGTCATCGTAAAGCTCGTAAGCCTTGTTTCCGTCGTAATCCTTTATAAGGACTAGAATTTCCTGTTGTTTTAATGTCATCGCGTGCAATTTGTCTGTGCCCAGTATGAACTAATTGTCTAGATCGCCAAATCCTTGTTTGTAGTCCTTCCACTCGCGGAAAAAGTCCTGGCTTCCATCGTTTCGCCGCAGAATCGCCGTCCACCCTCCTTCATGACTCTCCTGATCGCAGGACACCTTTAAGGGGGTTTACTGTACTCTGGTACGCGGATCACAAATTTACTTTTAGATGACTCAGCGCAGCAAACGGGATAATGATTAGGCATACAAGAGTCAAATTTTGTATCTAAGCGTTCTAAAATATCCGCCTGGCGTTTCTGCTCAAAATATTTGAATGTCAACGTATTTTTCATCTTTTATTTTCCATCGACCTATAGTGATTCGTGTCTTCGCTAAATGTGAGTCCCGTGTAAAATTGTATAAATGAATAGTGTGTGTTTCATTTTTGTGTTTAGTAGCACAGCATTTTATAGGAATTAATTTTCGCTTGGCTTTCATACCCGATTTAATATAAAGTCGCCCTTTTCAGTGTTCTTTGATGAACCCTGATATATAAAGATGTATGTAAAATATCTATTTTCAGCCACAAAAATGTGTTTAAATTATTTACTTTTTCCTAAAAATATCGATATGTTGATATTTTATATATTTTTATAATCCTCAAAACTAAATAGATAGTTGCTGACAGTCCCGCCAAATCTTTGAATCATTTAATGGGGATGGCCGAATTTGTGTGAACAATTTTAAGGGTATACTTTCACCCGCTATATGTCATTTAAGGCATACCAAACCTTAAACAAAAATTGTATAGGTTCCCATTGAGTCGATCTAATTGTATCACTCATACGTACTGTTGCACTTTGTAAAATTGGTATTTTAATCCTTATGGCGTAGATTAGTTATTTGTCTGTATTTTATATGGCAATTTCTCAAACGAAATCAATATGTTGACAAGGCTTGAAATGGGAGACTAAACTTGGAATAAATTCATATGGACATACGTGTCGTATGCGTAATTTTAAAGGTAACTTTAATTTTGTTGTTGAAAATAAAAGTGTTCCTTGTGTTATTAAAATAATAAACTACTGGATTTAAAGCTGAAAAAACAGAGAATGGTGGGGAAAAGGCTGGGCTGTCTGCACTGGCGAGTTTGTGGGTGTTAAGGGAGGGGGAAAGTGAGGGGAAAGTGAGAGTCAGAGAGAGTGCGCGTGCCCGCTCTTCTCTTTCAGCGCTTGTTTAGTCAATTCTCCAAAAAACGCGTCGCGTGCTGTTTAATTTCTGTAGTAAGCGCCATTCATCGTTTTTCACTCGCCGTCGCTGGTCCGTTTTTCCGCTGGTTTTCCTGCATTTCCGCAACCAAAAAAAAACAAAAAAAAAACAAGCAACTAATAACTAAGAAAATAAACAATTTTGTGATTAAACAAAGGGAAAACCAATAGCCAAAGAGGGAGACGGAGATAAGCAGAGAGAGAGCGAGCGAATCAAGTAAGTTTTCTACTCTGTGCGAGAGAGAGAGGGTCCTGCTGAAGTTGCAAGTGCTAAATTTAGAACTCAAGCTGAAGGCTGCACCACCAGCACCACCGCCCCACCCCCTTTCCACCCACCACCCACCTACGTCAGACGCTCTCTCTCCAGCGAGCGGAAAAGAGACGGAGAGTGCCTTCGCGCGTGTGTGTGTGGTATGAATGGAACAAAAGTACTTGGTCTTGCGGGGGAGCGAGACAGCGAATGTGTGTGCGTGTATTTGTGGCACGTAGACTCGTAGTAAAATTTTCCGCGTAAAATTGAAAGCAAATTGAAAAGCTCACGAGGGAGTTTGCAAAAAGTGCCAAAAGTGAAGAGAAAAAATACAACAAATTAGTTAAAAGATACATAAATAACAAAAAAACAAGATTTTAGTAGCTTTATACATAGTTAAATATTTAGTAAATAGATAACACATTGAAAACAAAAATTATTACATACCTTAAAATTATTTTTTTATTGAAGAATACTACCAAATAAAATCAAATTTTTAGAAAGAAAGTTCATGATTTAAAAATAATTGAAACTTTTTGGTCTTTGACAACTTTAAAAAAAAATGGTATTTCTACCAAACATGTTATTAACGAAAGTAAATCTAGCTAAGTTTTTAAAGCAACACAATTTGGAAAAAAATGAAATAAATTTTCAGAAATCTGCCTTGAGCAACCGAAAAACCAGTTCGTGCGTAGTTTTCCATGTCATGTTTTCCACATTCGGTGGCGAAAAGCGGCTGCAATTTCCCATATCATCGTTGCAACGACTTTCGCACGCTTCGTTTTATTTCACTTCTTTGCCACGGCCCTCCCCTCACTTTTTCCTCTTCCATTTCTCCTCACCCCTTTCTCTTCACCACTCCTTTTTGCTGCCACACGTTACAACCCATAGACATTGGAATAGGTGTAGGAACCTGCCCGCTCCAGCTGCTTCTTGTGCCGTCTAAGGGAAGGTGCGAGACGAAATTGTAGGCCAAACAAATTTTAAAAGTTTATAAATGTAAATTTATAATTAAAGGATTCACAATAGCTGGCAAATAAAAGGGATTTTCAATTTCAATTGATTTCTTCTGCCTTCGGCTCAACAGAAAATGTTCGGTTGCTAAGGTGTTGGCGGGGTGACTTGATCGCTGAAATAGTTGAAGTCCCAAGAACAAAGGTTAAGCAGAAAACACGGGGGTAGTTTGGGGTGTTTTGCGCGACGGGCATAGGTGTTTATTGGTACACTAAGAACACCTTAAGCCTTACTTAACTTAAGGCCCAAGTGCGCAGCAGAGACTTCGGGACGAGTTGGAGTGCGGCGGCTTGGGATGTTGTACATTGAATAAACGTCAAGGATGTAACTGTTTCTGTCTCTGTCTTTCTTCAAGTTTGCCAATTGTCCTCCCATCGCGTTCCTTACAGTTGTTGGCTGATCTTGCAATTTACTCCGTTGTCCTACGATAGACTCCAAGGGAGCGCGGGGGCCCGAGTTGGCTACCTTGGATAATTGGGCCGGGGGTAACTGTATGCCAATTGCCATCGCGTTCCTTTCTGTTGTCGGCTGATCTTGCAATTTACTCTGTTGTCCTACGATAGACTCCAAGGGATCGCGGGGGCCCGAGTTGGCGTACCCTGGATAATAGGGCCGGGCGTAACTGTTTGCCAGTTGTCCTCCCATCGCGTTCCTTACTGTTGTCAGCTGATCTTGCAATTTTCTCTGTTGTCCTACGATAGACTCCAAGGTTGTTCTTTGATTCTCCATCTTTAGCTTAATGTTTCTCAGGTCGTCAAACAGGGGCCTGAGTGCGGACATGCAAAAGGCTCCGCATTGTTGAGGTGCGTCCTTAAGTACACAAACAGATCCTGAGACTCCCAGCGGCTCTGTAGGGCTCTTCCACGTTGATTTACTTGTCTCCAAAGACGATGCTATTTGTAACAGTGATTCCATCCGGTTGTCCAAGCCTAGCTTTAAATTCGAAATATTATCATACAGAGTGGCCACAGAGGATAGGCAAACAGCAACAGATCCTGGGACCTCGGAGTGAACGGTAGATCCATAAACATCCAATACAATTATTAAGTACAAAAATAAACTGGTTAGCTTAACCATTACTTGTGTGTATAACCAGCGAAAGTCAGAATTAAACTAAATTCTATTTCGGCTTTTAAAAGAACCCTTCAGTTCCGCTACAAAATTTCTAATTAAACGATAAGGTTGGTGCCAGTCTCTAACAGGCTCTGATAAAGAAACATAACATATATTATGTCTCAAATTTGTATTTTTTCCATTTAAAAATATACAGTTCGGGTACATTTCGATAATAAACTAAATTCCGAACTAATCTTTATCCTTGTGATGCAAACAATTTAGTGATCCAAAACTGGATGTGAAATTGCTAAAATTCGCCCCTACACTTTTGTTCGGCACCTTCTCCAACATTGTTGGAGGCACGAGTTGAGCGCGCATGTACAAAAGCGAGCAGCATTACGACAGGCCCCCCACGCCCCCCAATTTTCCATGGGCGCCCACACGGGCATAGCATCCAAGTAGTAAGTGCACTTTGTGAGTGCGGCCAGGGTTGCCAGACAAACGCAGTTTTGCGCAATTGTTGGGTGGGAATGGGCGAGGAATTCAATGAATGGGAAAACAACCTGCACACAAAAGAAAATCAGCCGAAAGAAATTTGCAGGGAATGTTAATTTGGCACAGCTAATTACTACACGCCGATTATCCACAATCAATTATTGTGTTCAACTTTTGCAATTAAACAAGACTTACATTGTTGTGTAATACGATAGGGGCTCAGATGCAGTCGACTGACTTGTAATTTATGGATTTCGTTTTAAACATTTATCGTTTAAAATTACATGATTTAAAAACCTAACCCTTAGAACTATTCTACAACTGAAATCTTGAAAATTATCTAGGACTGCCAAACTTTTTTTTTAAACAAAAATTAAAATGTTTTTTGTGTAGATTTCAAATTAACATTTTTTATCATGGAAGTCCCCTGCGTGTCTCCTCATTCACCTGGTAACCCTGGAACTGCAAGTGAGAAGTGAATCGTGGGTTGCACGCAGTGGAGAATTGGTCGGGGAATGGGGGTTGGTGGTCTCTCTCCAGCGCCAGCGCAGAGATTTTCAGAGACGTTGGAGACAACAGTGTTGCCTTGCCACATTGTGGACGCAATGGGTTTTCAGTTGGAGCGCAACGTTAGCCGGTGACGGGCGGTGAGCTATATGCGATATATACCCGATATATACCCGATACACACAGTAACACCGTAGTAACCAGCAAAGTCAGCAGGCGTAGGCGGATTCGAAACCGTTGCACAACTGCATTTCGACAGGAAAAACAATAAGTCGTCGAAGAAGAGTACCCAATCTGATCCCAAAGAGTGTTTAAAAACCAATTTTCGATGGGTTAAAAGGCCAAAAAGAGCAGAACTTAACCCTTTGGTGGTGCGGTGTGCGCCTGGTTTTTTTTATTTGCGAATTTCGCGTCGTCTGGTTTCCGTTCCCGTGGCCGTGCCAAAAAAAAATCGATAATTCCGTGCTGTATAAGTTACGGCGAAAGGTGTCCGTTCGGGATTTGAGTTCGGGTGTTTTGAGTACTACGCGGAAGGACCAAGTGTGCGCGAAAGAGATTGTAGGAAAGAGAGATTGCCACTCACAATACAAAACTCAAACCTACAAATTCAAAGTTCGAAAACCTACATCTGTTGTAACCGGTTAAAAAATTGAAATATTTTGAAAAACATGTTTTAAAACAATCTAAAATCCCTAGTGTTAAGAGAACTATCTAACCGCTGCGGTTACTCGTTAACTACGGATTTACAACCAAAGAGAGAGAGAGAGAGAACGTAAATTGCATTTTTGCACAAAAGGGAAGCGCCGCTTACACTTTACACGCGCGTAAAGAGAGCGGAGAGAGAAGAATCGCAAAACGAAGCAGCGCGTAAAAATAACAAACAAAAATACATGCGGAGGCGTATAAATAGAAACGGCGTGCAAGGCGCAACGGCAAAAAGTCAGTAGTATGTAGTAATAGTAGTAGGAATAGAAGGAGAAGCGGAAGGAGGAGAAGAATAACGTCGACCGCGACGCCGACTGCGACTGCGGCGTCGTAGTAAGTTTTCTCCTCTGTGTGTGTGTGCGCGCTGCGTGGGTGCATCGTTGTCGCAGTGTGCGTGCGGCATGTGAAGCGAATAAAGGCCAAAGCAGAAAATCATGATAAAGTTTGTCAGGCAGAAAAATCGAGAAAACACACTAAGGGCATCCAAAAATTTTATGCGTAAGAAGGTGTGGGTTTGAAATATTTTTTTCGAAAATTGAATTTTTTTTTTATTTAAATTTAAAAAAAAAATATTTTTATAAAAGTTTGAAAATATTTAAGAGAGACATCCATCACTTTAAATATTTCTAAAGTGAGAACAAGTTTTCAAAGTTTTACCATTTAAAAAAAAAATGTCTAGTTTTGTATAATTTATTCTGTTTTACTTGATTGTATTTTTGAGAAAACGATTTCTTAACTTAGTTATTGTTAATTTATTTGACAGCAAAAATTCCCCTTTTTCTCCCGCAGCGTGAATCGAATGACTCTGGCACAGAATCTGATGGTGAACTCCTCGATGTGGAAAACCAACGTCACTTAGACGTGGAAATGGAAACTAGTAAGTGCCAAACGGCAAGTACCGGTTTCGATGACAAATTTTGAAACTATTTCTAAACTGAAATTATCACGTTTTTGGTTCGTGGAAATACCATTTACATTTTAAATAACAGATTTTTTTTGGCCTTTGTTCGGCATAAATGTTGTAATGTTTTTTCTGTATTATTTCTGTTAAGAGATAAACTCTTAAACACTATTGAACTCCTAAACTTTAAAAAGGACAATGTTTCTGTATTGCTTTGATAGGTATTGATTAAATCAAAAAGTTTATAGATCCATATTAATATCATCCATCTCCATCCTACCACTCAGGTGTTGCTGGCCAAAAACCAATCGCTCCTGAAATGATGTGTCACCAGCAGACGTCGTCATCCTGTGCCCATCTCATGTACGACCAGCACAGTTCCGAGGAGGAGTTGGAGGTGATCAATGGGCCGTCCTCGCAGGCGGGTCAGCATCCCGGCGGAACAGCGGCCACGGGCTCCTCGTGCGCCTCCCGGATCTCGAACCGCGGATGCACTTCCTCGCTGGACACGGAGGCGCCCTACGAGGAGCGGGCCACCACCTCCAACTCGAAGCGCTCCAGCTCCACGCTGATGGTGGAGAACCGCAAGCGATCGCTGGCCCACAGCTCCGACGACGAGGTGGGTTCTGGTGGGATTGTCGGGCGGATTCTCAATTCTGAAAGCATAGGGTTTTAGACGATGCATGTGCAGCAAGGCCTTAGATGCAGCACCGTGATCTATTAGCATAAATTTTTTTGAACTTCTAGATTTCTAGATGAAGATGTGGTTTTTTTGCCATTCTTAGATAAAATATATTCAAAAGTTTGATGTGTAAGGACTTCGTATTTCCTTTTTGATTAAGGAATGAGTTCCTAATAGATTTCTGTGTGATGAGGTTTACATTTTCCAAAACCCTAGCCAATAAAGATTTTCCAAAGAAAATTGAATTTCTTCAAGCACATGAAGATTGAGAATCTGTCCCACTTTGTAAGAAATATTTTTTAATTCAGTATGTTTTCATCTCACGACAGTTGCGCAACTCGCTGGAGCCGATCTTGACGCCCGTGAATTTTCGCACATCGCCGCCATTGGAGGCATTCAAGCCAAATCGTAGCCATATGATGTTCCGCTCCACAACGCCACTGATATTATCGGAGGCCCGATGTGGCATCGAAAATATTAAATTATGTGATAATAGTGTAAACGAGGAGAATGGCGACAACGGCGGTGGCGGCAACGGCAGCAAGTGTGCCAAGATTGGTGTGGCAGGCGCCACCGGAACCGGAAACGGTGGCAACGAGAACGAACCGAGTGTGATCAAGGCGTGCAGCAGCTCGCTGAAGATGAGCAACAGCAGCCATCACATCTACCAGCCGCAGCCAAAGTACAGTTTCCACTACAACAGCTCGCGGAGCAGTCCGGCCAGCACCACCGGACTGGACATGGAGGTGCGATCGGTCAGTCCGCCGGCGAAACTGTTCCACTGCGCCATATCGCCCAGGCGGCGACCCAGCAACAATGCCACAACAATATCACCACCATCATCCGCATCTGCATCTGCATCTGCATCTGCATCAGCCGCCTCAACAACAACGACACACAATGCTGCCAATTCCGCCGGAAATGCGGCCAACGTCACCGCCGTCGCCACCCAGAGACTGCAGCGACCGCACCGGCCGTGTTTAGATTTTGATAAGATGCAGCAGGTTAGTCTCTAATGCTAACACCAGAGCAGCCGGAGAAGTCGGAAGATCCGGAATTCGCGGGAATAGGACGAGCAGATGGATGGTCAGTGGAAACGGGGGGCAAATCAAAGACTTTTTATACGAACCAAACTGAACCTGTACTCGGCGGACAGCCTAGGGGTTAGTAGGAGACCTCGGCTTCAGCAGCAGCAGCAGCAGCAACAGATTCGAGATTCAGATTCAGACAGCAGAGGAAAATATCATCAAATCAAATTATATAAATCTAAAGGTAATTCAAATTTTAACGCAAACCAACAAAACCAAGAGAAACCTAAAATTTACAATAGATGCAGCTATTTTTTCACAATTTTAAACTGAAAAACTGTAAACAAACAAACACTGTAATGCGCAGGGGGATCGAATCGAAAGTTGATGCAAAAACAATAGATTTAAAGAAGCTCCGGTGTGTAAAGATGATCGAAATTGATATAGAGGGGGTGTAAAGAAAGTCGTATGCTAGCCGTACGACAGAAAGGATCACAAAGATGATTAAAAATAATCTTAAGGAAAAGCTCTGGGTGTAATGATTTAGATGATAAAAGGCCAGCCAGTGGAAACTGTGAACTGTAAATATTGTATTTGTGTGGGATAAACCAAAAAACTTTTGAAGAATTGGCATGCCATCGACGGGGAGAAACCGAAGAAGCGGAGTAGATGTATTTTAATTTTTTTAAAAATCCGACGAAAAACACTTGTGGTGATGTGGCAGAAGACTCAAAACTTGAAGAAGAGAAGATTATATTTCTATAAAATGAAGGAAAGCTGGAAAAACGGTGAGCGGCCAGAGGGAAAGCGGGAAGTTGGGAGAAATGGAGGGAAAATAGTGTGGCAAACACTTGGGACGCAGAAATAGCAACAGCAACAATGTGAAGCAACAATAGCAACTGAAATAATATAAAACAAGCAAAAAACATTTTGTATGAGAAACGGGGAGCCGAAAGAAAAACTGTCGCAGCGACAGGTGAAAAACAGTTAAATTATGTGTTTAATGTACAACATAAAATAGCGAGCTATTTTATAAACAATATTCAATTTATCCACAATTAAGAGAAACGACAAACAACAAAACCAAAAAGCTGCCATCAAGATTCATGCATACGATTAAAGGTTTAGTTCTGGGCTCGGGATCCAAGCTGAATAGAAAAGATTGTATTTTTACTAGCTTGAATACCGAGCCCTACCAATATGATTGATTGATTGATGAAGACTACTTAACAATTGGGAAATGTTTGCCAGCTCATATGTGTATTAGTCAAGCATAGTTATTGCCTTTCTTTGTCAAGTAAATGAAGAAACAAAACGAAAACGAATCATCGCAGCAAGTAAACCCATATTCAATTCAATAAAAAACCAAATGATACGAAAAAAACTAAAAATCAGTAAATGTGTGCAACCATAGCAAAGCAAAAGTAAACAAAACGTACATTTTTAAGTAAAAACCAAACAATGATGCAAAGTCAGTGTAATGCTAATTTTAAATCGTATTTACTAGCGGAAGGCAGGCAAAATTTCAGTTTCCTCCAAAAGTAGGCAACAGTTTTTGATAACCATGCTAATTTTTTCAATAACATCTCATCCCACTAAAACGTTTCACGCCCCACAAAACCACACCAGAGACACTCGACACATTCAACCTACCAAAACAGCATAATCCACACCACCAAGACACCAAGAATATTTATGATAAAGCGGGGGATCGATGGACCGAAGTTAGGATCAGGCTGGGAGAGGCGAAGTGCAGATATGATACTGATACTAGGAATGCAGTTTTCGTAATTTTTAATTAATTAAACAGAAATCGAAACAGAAACAAAATCGAGGAGAGATCGAACAGATGAATTATATTATATATGTGTAACAAACGGGAGAATCGGAAGATATCATGGACTGAGCGTAAATTAAAGCGTGGAAAAGATAGGAAGCTGGTGAAGCAACCATTACTAGGATTTTAGTTTGTAGGCTCTAAAGCGATGAAAATTACTGTGAGAACGGCTAACAAACACACAAATCTATGGAATGTATGGCTGCGGGGCGTTTATGTTGAATATTTTTGAGAAACGAAACAAAAACCATAAAAAAAGAGGAAAACAAATTATGTTGTAAACAAAGAATACAAAGATTTCATTGCGTTTCGGGCCCGCTGACAGGCGCCCAAACACTTGTGTTGTACATAGTTACATAATTAATAACAAAATATATTTAATATATACTTACTCATTAAAAATTAAGTCGACGAACGGTACAAGTGCAAAAAGAGAAAGAAGAAAAACAAATTTGAGAAAAAACGAATGAAAGAAGAAGATGACAAGACGAAAACATGAAAATTAATAAAGAAATGCTCTGCAATAGAAAAGGTGGAAATGTTTTTTAATTTAGAACATGGGTATAAGAATAACTGTCCAAATATCTTTTTGAACTTAAAGATTTATTACCCCTAAACTTGAGTCTCAAATATTTACATTATCCTTTTCTTTATTTTATAAATACAAGCATGTAGCTTTTCGTTCCCTACTCACTAAATTCGAGCTCCTATTTACATAGACAGATTGTACAAAAATGCGTACAACGGATAAATAACCTATCTTACTCCGAAGAAACCTTGGCACAGCATGGCTATAAGCCCAGGATTTCCTGCCCATTTTGGTCGCGCATGGCGTCAGACTTATTGTGTTGGATGTTGGCGGCCACCTTGTCATCCCCTTCGACTGGCACTAGATTGTTGTTGCCAGCTGCCTTCTTCTTTTTGACTTTCTCCGCAGGTGCCTGGTTAGTTCTGCCCGGATCGTGGATCCGTGAATGCCGCTTGAGATCCCCTGATACCCGGAACTTCTTCTCGCAGATGGAGCACTCGTATGGCCGCTCCCCAGTGTGCACTTTAATGTGGCTGAGGAGGTATGAGCTGGCCCGGAAGGTTTTGTCGCAGTGCTGGCAGGCGTAGTTCAGTTCCCTGGTGTGGATTCTACGGTGCAAGACCAGGGAGTATCTCCTAGAGAAACTCTTTCCGCAAAATTCACACATGTGAGCTTTGATGTCGCTGTGACGCGATATGATGTGATACTTTAGGTCGCCCCACTGCCGGAATTTAAAGTCGCACTTCTCGCATTTAAAAGGTTTTACGCCGGAATCTATGATTAAGGATCAAGGGTAAGTTGGTAATCTCTGACAGATTTCAAACTAAACTCACGTGTCCTTTCGTGCGCCTTCAGGGCGCTCTGTGTGTAGAAGGATCTCTCGCAGCTGTCGCACTTGTGGGATCTCTGCTGGTTGTGCGTGTACTGATGGTACTTGAGGGCATTGTACGAGTTGAAGTCCCTGTTGCACTTGTCGCAGAAGTGCTTTCTCCTCGTCTTGCTTAGCGTCTCCTCGGATAAACTCGAGTCCATGCCCTCCATCGAGAAGCTTTCGTTGTGCTCCTCAGTCTCCGGGTCTCCATCTTCGAAGGGCGAAGCTGGTCGGCTGTCCGTCATATCATCCTCTTCCAGTTTGAAGGCTTCATTTATCTCTAGTGGAGATCTGCGCAGCTGTTCGATGGAGGAATTGGGTGGAGGAACAGAGGGAGGCGGTGGCGTCTGACAGGCTGGTGGAGCAACCAACAGGTTTTGCTGCTCATTTGATTCCCCTTTTGACAGAGATTTCTCCATTTTGGAATCAATCTGAGGTTGTTCCTTTTCGGGACTAAGGAAGTCCAAAGCCAAGTGCTCGCTTTCATGGGGATTCTCTTTCAGCAGTGGAGTGGCCTGCTCTGCAGAAGCTGGCGGCGGCTCTCCCGGCAGCAGGAGAGCCGGAAAAGTGATGTCTCTGAAGTTGTTGTTGAACCAAGGTGCCGTCATTCCGCTGGATGTTAGTTCAAGGTCCACTAGCTCATCGCACGTGTCCTCTATCGAAACCTTGTCGACCACATTCCGAATGCCCTCGAGCATGTCCTCCGTATCGCTGAACTCCACATCGTCGACTACGGGCACAGAATTCGGTGTGCTATTGGTGTTGACCACCACGGGACTCAATTTGTCCATGTTGACACCCACGTTAGCCACATCGTCGACGTGGTGAGTGATGTTGTGGAAGTTCTCAAAGTTCAGCTGCACGTCATGAAAAACCTGGTCCAGTTTGGCCTGCTCTTGTTGCATCTTTGGGAAAACAAAATATTATAAGTCTATTAATAATCTTAGAAACAATCTAGAAAAATAGCTAAATGGAGCAAAGGGAGTTGGAGATATACAAGCAACCAAGCGAGATTGGAAGCGCCATTTTCCCGCGATTTTAATATATGGTAATGTGAACGGCAGACAGACCTAAGCGTTATGGGCGTTAGAGAGGGCAGTGCAAACTTTTTTTTAGGTCAATCGATAGGTACTGACATGACAAGTAAATTTCAGTTAAAATTCTTTTTTCTAGCACATCAAATGTAGGAGCCACAGGTTTGCGCGGATTGTGGGCGTTAGAGTAGTTTTTAGTGCCCTATTTTGTATGGTTTTTAATTCTGCTAGAGCCCTAGGCTAACCTTATCCTGGGCAGACAGTCCGCACATGTCCAGAGGCTCCTTTTGCTGCTGCTGCTGGGGATCCTGAACCACCAGGCGTTGCTCCAGAACGGTGGGTTCGTAGTGCTGCTTAAGATGGGCGAAGAAGTCCAACTGGGTGTGCACCGCATAGCCGCAGATTTCGCAGGAGTACGAGGGAGCCACGTCCTGGACGTGCTTGTGCTGGTGGTGGTGCTCCAGGTCGGCGTCTATGTTGCCCTTGAGCTTCCGCGAAATGCGTTTCTTGTGGGGCAAGACCTTGCGGGCGTTCGCATTGCAGGATGTGTTGTTGTGGGCATAGAGGAGGTCCTCGTCCTCGTGAAGACCCGTGGACACGTCGATGGGAACGGTGGGCTCTATGGCCAGGGCCGGAAAAGTGGGCTGGGCATCCTGCTGGTGGTGGTTGGGCACAACATCATTTTCCGGCGACGACTTGTTCACAAATTGAAAGATGGTGTTGTGGAAGTTTAGTTCCGGCGTCAGCGATTCCTTTTCCACGTAGCCCACTCCGTTTTCGGAGTTCCCGGAACTGGGATTCGTGCTCAGATTGGTGGGCCCCTCTGATTTGTAGGTGTGATCGATGAGATCCATAATGAAATGGTTCGGATTCATTAGCTCCGTAGCCAGCAGCGTCTGTTTTTCGGCGGAAAAGCGGTTAACTTTCATGTTTTAACTCGGTACTTCATTATACTCCACTTACGTGGTCGATGAACTGCTGGGTGTCCACTTCCTTGCGCTCCATTTTGCCCGATTTTCACTTGAATTCATTAAATATAATATAACATAAAATGTTTTTACCCAAATGTACTACCTCAATCAGCTGTTGCTGGCAGTGTGACCCCTCTTGTTTTCAATAGAGGTGTTCTAGTTGCTCTATCGATTTTCTGAAAAAAACATCGATAGGACCTTGATGTTAAAAAAATTAATTTTTGCACAGCGGTGCAACTTATACTTCCGGAAGAAGCGGCTTTGAGCCAAAAAAAATAAAAATGGAAGGCAAAACCCAAAACACCTGCAAAAGGTTAGTACAGATGAAAAGAACGTCTGGTCCAAACCTTATCCAAGTTGTCCATTGTTGTTAAGCTTGACCCACAGTGCACAAAGCCGTTTTACAGTGTGACCGTTCAATTTTCACTTTCAAATAATTAAAGTGAAAGAATCCGGTGAGTGTCCTCGCTAAAGTGCGAAATTCGAAAAGTCTCTTATCATTAAAAAAATATTTTACAAAACTGATTTTTAAAGCATTAAATAAATTTTAAAAAATAGTGTTTTAATTATAAAGGTTTTTTTAAGAATCATTAAGAGAATGCAATTTTATTTAATATTTAACGGTAGCATTTTACGTGTTTTAATTAAACTATTTTGTCCAACTGGCAAATGTAATGAAAAAGTCTGAAGCATAGAACACAATGTCCATCAGGGCCAAGCAGTCCTTCCTTCTTATTTATATGAAGACACATTTTTAATTTGTATTAAGAATTTCGTATAAACGTTTTTCCAACTATAAAAGAACTCCAACAGGAGGCCCAGACTGAAAGGTAACCAACGAGTATGTTTCTGAGGGCCTCGCCTCAAACTCCAGTTTATTCAGTTAGATGACCTACTCTTTCACGACATGCCTTTTTAGCATTTCGCCTATGCCATTTTGAACACAATCCAGTCCAGTTTTTTTTTAATTGGTCAATTATGCCGAGTATTGCTAGTGTTTCCTTCTCCAATCCAATATTTCCCGATAATCAAAAGGAGTTTGTTGTGATTTATAGTGAATCTCCATCGAATTGGAGTTCGTCAAACATCAAAGTGCGTTAGCTCTCGACTCTCAAACTTCGCCCCTCGTGACTTGTCAATCGCACCGTTTAAGGTGTTTCCTGATGGATTCCTCAAGGGATTCCATTGTTATTGTTATGATTCATGGGAATTCGTGTGCGTAATTATCCGATTCGATCAAACAAAGCGGGTTGGTATTTATTTTTACACCCGTTTCGGTGAGTCACTGGAAGTGGAGATCAAAAAGCTGCAAGGCCACAAAATATGCGGATTGTCTATTAATTGTTTATTAAACATTAACAGCATTTTAGGGCGAAGTGCTAAGCAGCCGTCGCTCGTCACATAAAATTCTCGAAAAGAGTGTTCATAAAATTTTATGTAGTTTTTGCGGTTAGTCGCCACTTGAAGTCGGGCCTAAAAATACCGAGGGGGAACATATGGGCATGGATGCTCCCCACATTCCCTTCTTCGTGGGCCTAAGCCCTCTGATCCGTTTACCATAAATATGTTGATATATCACTGAGCGGGATTAGCTTCCTGTTTGCGGCCATATGGAGATGGGAACCGCTTGGATTATGTGCCACTTCAGAATGTGGAATATATATGAAGTGTTAATTTGTAATGGGAATGTTTATGGGCCCTGTTTGTTGTCGAACTTTATGTTCCAACCAATTGGTTTCTGGAGCAACAGGGGAGTTCCCAAATGGGAGACACTAATTTAGGGGTTTTCAATATGGCCACAGCTTATCATTTAATTTAATAATTGTTGGGGTGATATAAGTTCTAAACAGCATATAATGTTATTTGATTTTGTAAAGATGTTTAATATACTATGATTTTTAAAATGTTTAGAAATTTGATTTTTATTGAATATTTTTAGAAACATACAATCCCAAAGATATCCAGCTGTTTTTATTTTCAAGTAATATTTTTTGTTTTGCCTTTCTATTCCACTCTTTCATTTGTAATATTATTGTGGGCCATATAAATATTGTTTTTTCATTAGGGGGAAATGCAAATTGTTTGCGTTTTGGCTCACACATTAGTAACGCCCACCAGCTGCCCACCAGAACCCGTGATCTATTCCATCCCAGATTCCATGCCATATAGATACAATGCTACCTGACTCTGCCTCTTTGGATTATTTCCTGTGTGTTTATTTTGCGAGCTACCAAGCAATTTTTGTTTGTTTTTGGTTTTTAGTATTCTTAAATTCTGAATAAATAAATAGGAATCTCTTTTTGTGGTTTTCAAATATTTTTCGCAAATATGAAAAGTCAATATTTTCTTTTGGCGAAATAATAAAAGTATTAACCTGCCTAGGTAAATGGGATTGTTATGGTTTATTTCTGGGAACGATTTTTGGGAACATTTGCGAGTTACACACATACTTTCTTTAACTATTTTCGGAATTTGTTTCTATCTTTAAGATACGTAGTGAAGAGAACTAAGCTATAACATTCTTTTTGGAAACTTTACCAAGCTAAAACAAATATTTTCCACTTGATTTCTGTAACAATCTTGCCTTCAGCTCGTTAGAGAAGTTTGTGTAGCAAAAGGAGGCAGCAAAAAAGACTGCGGCTGTCAACATTTTGTACATTATTACATGCTTTACAATACCATTATTATCATAAGCGTGCTTTTTTGTGGATACAACAAAAGCAGAAGCAAGTAAGTTTTTGTAAAAAACACAACACAGGCGTAAGGACCTCCACCATCCTCTCCTCCATCCGAGGAAGGGCAGGAAACATGCAAGTGCCCAAGTGCCTTCTTTTGTTCTTTGTCACGTACTGCGGTGCTACGGACCCTCCTTCCGACCTCCCCTCCCAGGAAATAATCAAAACCCCACACTCGGAAATAAGCGAACAAGTGTAGCAGTGGCGAAACCACCTTGCAACCACACGGATCCGGCGCGAAGGACCATGGACCAACAGCAGGACCAACCTACCGCAGACTCGAGTTTTTCGCTGCTGCAAAAAAGAGGAAGCGGAAAGGAGCCTCATCAAGAGCGGTTCGATCGCTGAAGAGAGCTTCAGATACCCAGCAATACAGAGGGTGTATTGGGTTCTTCAAGATAAGAGATTAAAGTAGATTAAAAGTGTACTTTGATAGGTCAAGACTTTTTTTATCTACGACAATTTGCTTTTACTTAGAATTTTTTTTGTTACTTATTATCCATTTATTATTAAAACTTAAAAACAAATTAATTTGTGTTTCCTTTAATGTTTTTATGTTTTAATGAATAGGAAATAAATTGGGTATCAGGGTATTTACTTAACCATCAATCCAATATAAAAAAAATTTTGCTGCATTTCCATAAAATCTAGAACTCTCAAAAGATACTTCCCGGTCTAATCAACTTATAAAAGCTCAACTTGTTTTAATTTTTTAAATCTCATTGTTTTTTGTTACCTCCTCGAGTTTCTCGCCTTGCGGGTCCAAATTATAAAACAAAAGCTGTAAAATGTAGCCAAATTCAAAAACAAACAGAGGAAAGACAGGCACCACAATTTCGCCCTAGGGGCTTCAAAGACCGCCCCCCCTTAAAAATTTTCTGACCCCGCCCACAACGCCCCCCTTTTCCCGTTTTGCTGTTGGTGCTGCTGCTGCATAAATATTGTCAATAGCAACAACTGCAGACGGCAAAAACAGCAGGGTTTTGGTATTTCGTCTGGCCGGGGGTTAGAGAACCCCTCCCACCCTGTTGGCCCCACCGCCCCTGTTTCCTGTCACATTCCCTTTCTTAGCTCACGTTTTTTACTTTTTGTTGTGCCATTGTTGTTAACAATTTTGTGCTCATCTCAGCGAAAAATCTGTTGACGCAATTGTCACGTGCTGTTCCCTGGCAGTTTTTCACTTGCTTCTCCGACCGTGTCCTGCCAAAAGGATGCTTTTTGTACATAGTTTTCAAAAACACATTAAGGGGAGGCATGGGGAATCTCTTGCCTCGTGCCACAGTTTTTACCCCGAGTCTGAGTTTTGAGCCCCTCGTTAAGTGCAATGCGGCGACGCACAAGTGGCGACACAATCTGATTCACTTACCCCCTGGTAAAAAAGGACATTTAGTGGGGGATAATGAGGCCTAATGTCTGGGGGATATCTTAAGATCTCCAAAAGGTACAAAAATATTATTATCAGAATTATGAAATTGTTATTGACTACTAAAGGTTTTTTAAAACGAACAAGTTTGGAAATCATTTTGTTATTATTATTATGTAGATAGTTCCGATAAATCCTTTAAGTTTGGTGGAGCATTGCTATTCCAATTATTTTGTTAATAATTGTTATTATCAATCATTTACCATTATTAATACAATATTAAATTTTGAATATGCTTCCTTTACTTTAAAATGGTTGTGTTGAACTTTAAGCACTACTATTTCCCAAAAACCAAATACAGAGCAAAGTAATTTTTTCATTAAACTAAAAACTAAAATTTGTAAAACTCAAGAATTATGTAGTGAAATGGTTTTGCTTGTTTTCAAAGGTATTCCTAAATTGCACAGGTGTTTGTATACAATGGCTTGTTTTGGGGCAGAAAATTTGTCCTAACAATAACACACTTTAACCACCAGACTAATTAGAGAAATCTCCCGCTTTATTTGGATTCTGCAAATGTGCTTCCCTTTTCTTAAGCATTTTTTAACCAGGAATCGACTCATGTGCTACCCGCTAAGCTTGCACACGCCCTACTCTACCTTTTTGCCAATATATCTGGATATTCCGACATTTGTTCGCTCCGAAACAGGGCAACCCAAATGCGAAATGCGAGTCCATAATCAAAAGAAATATAAATATATTCCCGCCTCGCAATTCGCATTCGATTCGGGTGGAGAGCGATAGTTTTCACATGTTTTGTTCGAGCATTAATTCCGTTTAAATGATTTCCACAACAGATTTGAGCTTTGCACGTAATCAAGTGGAAATGAATTTGACCAACACAAGAGGTTTATACACATCGTTTTCCATGCCTTTATTTTTGCGGTGTCCCATTAGTTTGATTGTTTCGAGGGCCACTGAGCCGTGAAAAATATCAGAGAAATATAAGTTTGAAAGACCAAAATGA